GTCCGGCCGGCGCTGAGCGCTCCCGGCGTCCGTAGGTGCCCGGAGCCATGGTGATCATGTCGGAGTTCAGCGCGGCCCCGGCGGGCGCGGGCCAGGGCCAGCAGAAGCCCCTCCGGGTGGGCTTTTACGACATCGAGCGGACCCTGGGCAAGGGCAATTTCGCGGTGGTGAAGCTGGCTCGGCATCGAGTCACCAAAACCCAGGTGCGTGGAGTGGGGTGGCGGCACCGACCTGGGGGGGAGCCCCTGCCCGGGGGCAGCCAGCCGGGCGCGATCCCTGCCTGGAGGGGCCATCGTCTGACGGTTTTTAGTTTGGTAAAGGGGGGAAAAAAAAAGCTTTATATTATGATTTTGCATAATTTGTATAGATATTAGGGAACAGCAAAAAGATAATGACCGTATAACCCAGGGGAGCAGCGCGCTCAGATCCAGAGCTAACGCCCCGCACACTGACCTGCAGGGACTTCGGGCGTTTATTTAACTGGCCATTTTTAATAATGTTAATGGTTACGGTTATTTTTCCCACCAACTTCTTGTGCTTTCTTGGGGGAGATAAAATGTTTTAGATATTAACCTGTAAAAGATGAAATGTGTACATTAGGTTAAGTGAGAAAATTTTTTTAGAAAAACAAAACATCCTTTTTCTTTTAAAAATCTGTAGGTTGCAATAAAAATAATCGATAAAACACGCCTAGATTCAAGCAACTTGGAGAAAATATATCGTGAGGTTCAGATCATGAAGCTTCTGAATCATCCTCATATCATAAAGCTTTATCAGGTAAGAACTCAAGTTTGCCTTTGCCATTCTGGCAAGTGTATTATTTTTAATTTCCAACAACGTAGGAGAAGGTCGCCCTTCTCTGTGTGTGTATACGGGAGTGAGGAGTAGTTGGTTGCATGAGGTAAATAGATTAATTTCTGTAAGTGATGCAGATGTGTTTACAGTTATACTCTTGCCTTTGGGTCGTAATGGAGATTTGCTTCATGAAAACTTTATTCAGTGTTGTAATTTGTTCTGGTTTGAAATGTGTAGAGGACGATATTACCAGATCTATGTATTGCTACAAGTCGGGCATTTAGTGTAGGACAAATTCGAGCGAAACTAGACACTTCCGTCTTTGCAGATAATTATTAAACTTTCAAACCAGCTGCTCTTACCAGTTTTCATAAACCTATCTTTGCAGAGGCAGCTGTGAGCATTTGTCTTCCCTATTTAAACTTCCATCAAAAACGGGGAGATGAGAATACTTTTGCCCTGACGAGAGCAAGGAGCTTGTCATTCAATCCACATTAGGACCAATCCTCACCCTGTCTGTCTGTTGGTTTGTTTAGTGACTTTATTTTTGTTCTGTTGAAACTAATAAATTATATCTTTGGAAAATAAGTGCTGGTTTAATTAGGACGGCAAAGTAATCTCTTACTTGGCTGACCACTTCTGTGAGGACAAAGCAGATCTAGTGCAGGAGAGTAAGTTCTTTGCGAATGCTCAGTTCTTCGTCCAATTGCGTTGGCTGTCAGTTCCTTTTGATGACTCTCAGGAAACCCGGAGAGTCTGAAATGAACATGGAACTGTGTGTGTATTTGTGCAGTTGGCAGGGCGAGGTGCCCGGTGGGGTGGGAGAGGCTCTTCCACGCAGTTACAACAGAGGTCGAAGTAGACTCATCGGGGCTTGTGTTTCCACTATGACAATTTACTCGGCGTCGCTGAGTGCGGTGCTCACATCACGTGCTCGCCGGTTTGTGTTTTGTTCCTGTTGTCATTTGTAAGTCGCTGTCTCGATCAGAAGTTTCCTCCCCGGTCACTGATGTCAGTGCCTGAGAAATGTGCCTGGCCCATTTCCGCAGGAGTGGGCTGACCCCGGTCTGTTTGTGACTGTGCTGGAGGGATGAGCCAGAGCGTGGCTTCCTCGTCCTCCTGTCCCCCGCTGGCCCAGTTAGCGACGCCTTGCCCGCGTGGTCCCAAGTTCAGTCTTTCCTGGGGTGAATTTTCCCCTTGCTCCGTGTGCTGCTTCAACTGTGTGGGAGACGCAGGATGCGGGGGCACAGTGACGAGTGTTAATACCCTGGTTTGGACACCGGCGTCTGGCTTCCGTCCAGCTGGCCCAGGCCCAGAACCTGGGTGAGGCGCTGAGCTCTTTCCTTGAGGTTTTTCAAAACTTAAAACACATTCATTCTTCAGTCTTTCTCTGTCACTTTTTTTCATTGAGAAAGGCGTGAACTGTAGTCGTTGGGTTTGTCACTGCTGTACACATCGAGGGCGAGGGCAGCGAAATTCTAGCTCAGCTGCCCGAGTTTCTTTTCAGATTAGGGGTCAAAGCAGTTGTCTTTAAGGTATCTCTTTTTTTTTAAGGAATAACTGTAATTTGAGCCCCGAGGACAGCTTTTTCTGTAAGAATGTATCATTTCCCTGTCTCCCTCGGAACCGAGTTAGCTTTACTCCTTTCAGACCAAAGGTCTGAATTTCACCTTGTTTCTTAGTTACGTTTTTAACTCCTTTAAAAAATTTTTTCGATAGTGAAATAAAATTCTCGATCAATAAGGGAAACTTTAAGGTGTGCCTGACATTAACTGTTGCTATTGACACATGCTGAGTCGTTGCCAGTACAAAGAGCAGACTATTGTAGCTTACCCGGCAAGGCTGGCTTCTCGTGGCCTAATTAATCATGCCACTAAGGCACGTGGGGCAGGAGTATCTGCTCTCTGTTATCCAGCTGTGCGGCCTTTGGGTCGAGCAGTCTGTTGGCCTGCTAGCCTTCTAGAAGAAAGCCCAGCAGCACCCTCGAGATCGCTGTTACTTCTGTAGCCTCCAGCTCATTGAGCCGGGTGGGGCAAAGCGAGTTATTGTCTGTCACATTTATTTTATATTCCTCTCGTATGATACCGAATTCTGATACACTTAGGCCGTTATTGAGAGTGAGGACATATCGGGATAGTAATTCGCTTCTGGTTTCTAAAAGCTCTTTCCGAGTAGGAATCCCCTCATTTCCTTCCGTGTTGCAAAAGGTTTTCTTCTCTTTCCTTTCCCCAAACGAAGCGTGCGCTCAGCCCGGAGAAGTTAACGACGCACTGGGATCCCCGTGCGCTGCCTTTTCATGCGTTAAATGTTACGTCTTTGTTTTTTTAGGTCATGGAAACAAAGGACATGCTTTACATTGTCACCGAATTTGCAAAAAATGGAGAAATGTTTGGTAAGCCACACTCTATTTATTATCTGTTGAAAGCAAATGGTACTCACATGTCAGGAGCCCGCCCTGCAGGGTGCGGGTCTCCCCACTCACATTCCACAGCGTTCTTCAGCCACGCCCTTGACAGTGGCAACCTCATGGGCGGGGTGGGGGCGGATGCCAGCTAGTTCGTCACCCTCAGACTGTTTGGGACTCCAACTAGTTTTGTCGCCCCTCAGACTACTTGACCTCTAACGGGCACCTGCGTGAGAGCGAGGCACGGAAGAAGTTCTGGCAGATCCTGTCGGCCGTGGAGTACTGCCACAGCCACCACATTGTGCACAGGGACCTCAAGACCGAGAACCTGCTGCTGGACGGCAACATGGACATCAAGCTGGCAGGTGGGGGTCATGCTGCGCCCGGAAGTGTGGCCCGGGGGGCGTGGGGGGCACGTGCACGTGACGGTCCCTGCTCGTTGTGCGCGCGGCTTTGACACTGTGGCCCCTGCCGTGTCCGCTGTGACGACATCGTCTGTTTCTTCGTCTCTCAGACTTTGGATTTGGGAATTTCTACAAGTCGGGAGAGCCTCTGTCCACGTGGTGCGGGAGCCCCCCGTACGCGGCCCCGGAGGTGTTTGAGGGGAAGGAGTACGAAGGCCCCCAGCTGGACATCTGGGTAGGCGCCCGCGTGCGTCGCGTGTGGTAGGTGCCGGTGCTGTTGGCGGCGCCCGGTCGGGCCGCACTGGCGCTGACTGTGCTGTCTGGTTGTCGGCAGAGCCTTGGTGTCGTGCTGTACGTCCTCGTCTGCGGCTCCCTCCCCTTCGACGGGCCCAGCCTGCCTGCTCTGCGGCAGCGGGTGCTCGATGGCCGATTCCGCGTCCCCTTCTTCATGTCTCGAGGTAGGTGTGAGCCCAGCCTCCTGCCGGGCGGGCAGGGAACGCGGGACTTTGGGGTGGCGGGGGAGGGGAGGCATTTCCTGAAATGCCGGGTGACTGTCATTTGAGTCTGCCGTCGGGTCCGTGAGTCAGGCCCGTGCTAGCGTGCGGTGTTTCCCAGGGGCCTGTAAGACACACGCAGCCCACGGGGCGTGTTCCCAGGGCCCCGCTCATGGGACGGCAGGTGCCTTCCTGTGAGGGTGTCTCGGGGGTGGCTGAAGGCCTGGTGTCTGGAGTCCCCGCCCGGCGCCCCATCACCTACTCTGTATGCGCGCTTTGCTCCTCTGTGTGACTCGCTGGGCATGGGCGGGCGCGGCACAGAACGGGCGTCTGAGGGGTCTCGGCACTTCCATCAGGCGGACCGTGTCTCCCCGGAGGCCCACCCCTCCGTGGGAGGCTCTCTGTGGCGGCAGGTCTGAGCCGACGGCACAGGCCAGTGCCCAGGCCTTGGTGGTCTTCAGGACGGTCACTCGTCCATTTGCCCGCCCAGGGGGAGCCTCGCTCCCTGCAGGGTGGCCATGGGAGCCGGTGCGCCATGTGGGGCGCGCCTGCAGGCAGCCCGCGTGGGGCTCAGTGCGCCTCCCTCTCCCTCAGACTGTGAGGCGCTGATCCGGCGCATGCTGGCGGTGGACCCCGCCAGGCGCATCAGCATCGCCCAGATCCGGCAGCACAGGTGGATGCAGGCCGGCCCCGCCCCGCCGTGTGTCAGCCCCGCCGGCCCCGCACTCGGCTGCAACTCCAACCTGGGCGGCTACGACGAGCAGGTGCTGGGCTTCATGCAGACCCTCGGCGTGGACCGGCAGAGGACCGTGGAGGTGGGCGCCGCGCTTGGCTTCGATGGGGAGGCATGGGGGGAGGGCGGCCTTGTCAGGACGAGGGGCACTCGCCAGTCCAGTCTTGGTGGGAGCATGGGCTGATTTAAGGGTCAGCTTCTCTAAAAGATGTTCTCGGCCGCCCGAGTATAACTCCGGGAACGGCCTGGTCAGGGGACCTCAGGGACTCGAGACGTTCGAGGCCCGGCCGCTCTGCTGTCCTCTCGTTGGGGCTGGCGCTGACCTGCTTCTCCGCGCCTCCCAGTCCCTGCAGAACAGCAGCTATAACCACTTCGCGGCCATCTACTACCTCCTCCTGGAGCGCCTGCGAGGCCACCGCGGCTCCCCGCCCTTGGCCCGCTCCGGCCCGGCCCTGCAGCAGAGGCCCAGAAGCGCCGATCACAGCACCGTGGAGGTGAGCAGGTCTCCTAAAGCCCGCCCGTCCCTGCCTTGGAACGTTTCCCCGGGGCAGGAGTCCCTCGCTTGGATGTGCGCAACGAGATGCAGGCTGAGGCCCCTGGCCCCAGGTCGCGTCCCTTGTCCGTTAAGCCCTGGGGGTGTTCTCCTGTGAATCTTAGGTCAGAGGCTACGTGGAGAATAGGGGGTGCTGGTCTCTCTGTTGGGGGTCAGGCCCTGTCCGTGTCCGCTTGTTGCTAAGTCCTTGGTGCTGCTCTGTCTGCCTCTTTCAGTCACTTCTACGCAGCACGGCCTCAGAGGGAGAGCACAGTGTTCTGAGCTTAGTCAGCTAGTGGCTGACGTCAGTGCCAGAGCGAGGCCAGCTCGGTCATTCTTACAATGCTCGCGGTTGTCTCTCGAGCCGCCTCCCTGATGGCGTCTGTCCGCCTCTGCCATCCACAGGTGCCTCAGGAAGGCCTCCCTGGCGATGCTTTCCGGTCCCCGGTGCTGTGCCCGCAGCCCCAGACCCTGGGCCAGTCCATCCTGCAGGCCGAAATGGACTGCGAGCTGCACAGCTCGCTGCAGGTGTGTGGGCCTCTGCACTGGGCGGCGTCTGGGGCGGGGGCTTGTCTCATTCCCAGCGGCGGGGGGACGACCCGTGCACCAGCCCTCCCGGGGCCCCAGGTCACTGGCTTATGTTCACCCCACGCAGCCCTTGCTCTTCCCCGTGGACACCAGCTGCAGCGGAGTGCTCCGGCACCGCTCGGTCTCCCCCAGCGGCCTGCTGGACACGACCATTAGTGAGGAGGGCAGGCAGGGCCCGGGCCCGGAGGAGCAGCGGGAGGCACAGAGGCCCCCGCCTGGTGGCACGGGCCGGAGACACACGCTGGCCGAAGTCTCCACCTTCTCTCCGCGCGCGCCTCCATGTAAGAGTCCCCGCGGGCGGGAGGGTGGCCTGGTGAGCGGGTCAAGGTCAGGGCTGCGGGGGCTGATGTGAAGAGCACCTTCTCCGCTGGGCGGTCTGTCGTCAGTTTTCACATACGCCATTGGTTTAGACCTGGAGCCGCAGGATTATCCCACTTAGACACTCCATGTGGTTGTTTGGTGGGGACGCTGGGTTTAGTTGCCCCCAGGGGGCAGGTCCTCACCCCAGGCCCTGGGTCAGCTCCACCGATCACCTGCAGCCGGGACCCCTGTGCGGCTGGCTGTTGAGGCTCCCGGCCTCCAGTGGCCTCTGGCTGTCATAGACTCCCACTTCCCCAGGGTTGAGGATAGAGACGGGGTGGCCAGTACAGCTGTCTGCCCCTTCAGCGGGCCATGAGCGCTGTCCGAGGGCCTGGGAGCCACTGCAGTGGGCGTGGGGAAGGTGGCAGAGCCAGTTCCTCTCCCGTGAAAACTGCGGGGTGCCGGTGGGTCGCGTCAGCCTTGGGGAGCGTGAGGGCCCCCGAAGCACACCCTGATCTTTCTGCAGGTGTGGTCGTCTCCTCCTCGGCCAGTCCTTCGGAAGGCACCAGCTCTGACAGCTGTCTGACCTCAGCAGGCGACGGCCTGGCAGGGCTCAGCGGACGCCTGGGCGCCCAGGGGCCGGTGGGCACCTGCTTCCCTCTCAGACTGGCCTCGCCGCTGCTGGGCGCCCAGTCCGCCACCCCGGTGCTGCAGGCTCAGGGGGCCCTGGGAGGAGCTGTCCTGCTCCCCGTCAGCTTCCAGGAAGGCCGGAGGGCCTCGGACACCTCACTCACTCAAGGTGACGTCCTCTTCGCTTCCCCCTGCCCCAGGAGATGCTGTGTGTGTCCCTGGAGGTCCCCCCGTTCTCCAGCTGGGTTTGGGTCGAGGAGCAGTGCTCTCTGGTCTGGACGACCTGGTCACCCGAAACAAAGTCCCCTGGCCCCTGGTAGTTGGTCTTAAAAGCCCAAAGACACTCAGTGCCAGGCAGCAGCTGCTGACCTGGAAGAGGATTGGGGTCAGAGGGGACCCTCCCCGCTGGCTGCCCAGGCCTCCCATGCTGCCCAGGTCTCCGAGGGTGTGGCTGGGGGGACTCACCTACCCCTAGTCCCATGGCACTGGCTGTGCCCTTCCTTCTTGAGGGGTCTGTGCTCTGCCTGACACGTGCCTATTCTGTGTTGGAACTGCTGCCCCGACCAAACCCCAAAAGAGGATGACCTCCTAGCCCAAGGGCGGGGTGGGGGGCGTGGAAGGCGATCGGATGGCCGGAGAACACCCGATCGGGCGCGCTGCGGGAACGAACGCTCACCCATCCCGTCGTCTATCTCCGCGCATTGCCCGTCCTGCCTCCCTCCTCCCTCTGGAGCCCTAGCCAGCCTCGGGCCCAGCCCTAGGCCAGGGGCCGGGGCTTCATAGACCACCTTTCTTGCCTCCCCCAGGCCTGAAAGCCTTTCGGCAGCAGCTGAGGAAGAGCGCGAGGACCAAAGGGTTTCTGGGCCTGAACAAGCTCAAGGGGCTGGCTCGCCAGGTGTGCCAGTGCGCCCCCGGCCGGGCGGCGCGGGGCGGCCTGAGCGCCTTCCAGCTGCCCGCGCAGAGCCTGGGCCTACATGGCAGCGGAGCCAGCGGCCGGGAGGGCAGGGGCCTGCTGGAGGAGGTGCTGCACCAGCAGAGGTAGGTCGGTCCGCGGCCTCGGCAGCACGCAGTGCATCGGGGTCCCCCCTGCAGCCTTGTCTCTTCAGCTCCTCTCTTCTCACGTGATTGGGTGGGCGTATCTCCCTGCCCCGGAGCGGGGAGACCTGTGGGGCCTGGTTCCCCACAGATGGTGGCAGAGGTGGGGAGCAGTCAGGTTTTGTCACTCGGAAGCTTGTAGGTGGGGATGGAGGGGGGCAGTGAGTGAAAATGTCAAGTCTGGTTGGCATCGGAGCTGCTGCAAAGCACGATGGGAATGGAAATGCCAGGAATTGCTCAGGGGGTTAGTCACTCGCGGCACTGCGTGTTCCGAGCAGCTCCAGCCAGCAGTGCCATGGGCGTGGGCACCAGGTAGTGTCTGAGCTGGCCGGGCGGGACTGTCGGGAGAGGCAGCGAGCAGAGCCGGAGGTGACCTGTTCCGTCCCGTCCCCCAGGTTGCTCCAGCTCCAGCACCACCCGGCAGCCCCGCCCAGCTGCCCGCAGGCCGCCCCGCCGCCCCCAGCGCCGCTGCTCCTGGCCCCCGGCGACGGCGCCCTCCTCGTGTCGGGACTGCAGACGGAGCTGGGGCTGGGGCCCTGCCCGCTGCTGCCGCCCCGCCTCCTCCAGGCCGGGGTCTCCCCGGTGGCCTCGGCGGCCCAGCTCCTGGACACCCACCTGCGCATCAGCGCCGCCTCGGCCCCGCTCCCCGCCGCCACGCCCCTGCAGCCCCACTTTGCCATGCTGCCCCTGGTTTTCGACCCCATGGGGCTGCCGCAGGGGGACTGCGAGATGGAGGACCTGACCTCCGGCCAGCTGGGCACGTTCGTCCTGGTGCAGTGAGGGACACGGCCCACCGCCCTCTGCCCACTTGGGCCGCCGACTCCTCGAAGCAATAATCTCAGAGTATGTGAAGACGCTTCCGGACTCAAAGCCAATAACTTCCTAGAAGCGAAACAAGCAATACGTTTGGTGTTTTGGCTTTTTAGTTTATTTTTATTTTCTCCTTGCACTGAGCAACTGCTACCACGAGTAGAGACTGAAAAGTTTCTGAAGAAAAATACTAATTGAGGGTGAGGCTTGGGGTGGGCGGATGGGGAGGGAGGGAGCGAACGGCTGAGACGCGGCCCACGGGGCCGGCTCGGTTCGCGGGGCCAGTGCTGCTGTGTCACTGGCGTCGGGTCACGGAGGGCGTTGCCTGGGACAAAGCCACGAAGAGCCACGCGCCTGGAAGCGTGTGGGCCGCCTCCAGCCGCGTGCGTGCGTTGAGCGGTAGCCTCTTTTCAGTTAAGTTCTCCATTTCCGGAAACATTTATGCTTCAGATGAAAGCTGTGAACTTTCTGCTTTATGTATCAGTTTTTAAAAAGCTCTAACAGCCAGCCCCGGAGAAGATAATCTACAAATTCTTGAAATTTTCTCCCCTGATGTCAGAGCCCAGAAGGTCGTTTTTCCTTCTCGGAGGTGAGAAGCTTTGCAAACGGCTGCGGTCCGTTCCCAGGCTTCTCGGGGAGAACCGCGACGGGGCGGCTGCTGCGGGGCAGGCTCGGCCCAGACCCGGCGCGGAGCCGGAGGGGTCTCCTGCCGCCTGTCTTATTTCCGCTGCTAAGTTTTTATGCATTTCATTATCAGGGTCCAAAACGAACAGCTGGCTCTGGGGAATGTGCAATACGCTGAGGCTGGACTGGGGCGGGCAGGCGGTCAGGGTCACGGCTGGGGTCCCGCCCTCACTGGGTGCAGCCTGGACGGCCCCACCTTCGCCCAGGCCCCCCGTTAGGCTTTCCTTCAAGAAAATGAGAGGTCAGGTCAGTGTTGTTCAGGCTTTGCTCCTTTTTTAAAGCAAATACCGTATATGTATATAAATAGGAGACAAATAGACACTACTTATTTTTTATATTTTTTACTACACCTTTGTGTTCCTGGTTTAAATTCCCCTCTGGTAATGTTAAGAAGCGTCGGCACCAGGTCCGTGTGGAGGGAGGCAAGGTGCACCCTTACCTGGCAGGTGGACTCAGGTGGGTCGGAGGCCTTGGAGTGACGGGACAGCCGCCTGGCACAGCCCTGCACCCCGGGCGCCGTCTGCTCACGGGGCTCACCTGCAGTGCCCCGCAGGAGACGGCCAAGGGGAAGGGTCGTTCGGAAAAGCCAAAGACTGCGTCCCAGGGGTGGGCAGGCGGCAGCGCGTTGCGTCTTGGCCCCTGCCGTCGGGCGGGGCGCGTGCCACGCTTGCTGCTCCTGGACCCCCCCTCACCCCCCCCCGCTGCTGCTGCTCCAGGACGGGGGCGAAGGACTGTCTTCGCACTGGGCCTGGCCACAGAGACAACACCAAAGCCTCCCGCCGACTCGTGAGGAAGGTTCGGGGCGAGAGCCCAGCGTCCAGGCGGGCCGGCCCTCTCGCGGAGATGGGTACGGATTCCCACAGAACCGGTTCCCCTTCGAAGCTCGCTCCTGCTGACGCCAGAGATCAAGGCCTCAGAACGGGGCGAAGGACTGTCTTCGCACTGGGCCTGGCCACAGAGACAACACCAAAGCCTCCCGCCGACTCGTGAGGAAGGTTCGGGGCGAGAGCCCAGCGTCCAGGCGGGCCGGCCCTCTCGCGGAGATGGGTACGGATTCCCACAGAACCGGTTCCCCTTCGAAGCTCGCTCCTGCTGACGCCAGAGATCAAGGCCTCAGAACCATGACAAGCACTTTACTTTCACGGTGGTGTTCTTTCTCTTGCTGTAAGTCGCGCTGTGTGTCTTGTGAGGTGTGTGTGATGTGTTTGACAGGCTTCTCGAGTGCGTGCAATGGCCCGGTCAAAGGCACTAGTGATCGGAGATGTGTCTGGGTTTTTTTTTTTTTTTTTTTACCATAACTGAATTATTTTATTTCTTATGTTCACATGAGATATGTATGCCAACTGATTAGTGGATGTATGTTTTTTAATTTAATATTTAAATAAAATATTTGGGGGAAATTCCCTCGGGCCGCCTGTGTGGGTGCACCTTCCTTCCAAGCTGCTTGCAAGAGGCCTTGTCTGCCAGCCTCATTCCTGTTTCGGGTTTTAGGGCCTGGCGCCAGTGCCTGCGTCCGGCCTCACACAAGGAGCGGACAGCCACCCAGCGGCGGCGGGCGGCTGAGTGGTCAGGGGGCGGGAAGGGGCGGCCTGAGGCTGGCACCCGGGCGCGTGTGCCGGGCCCTGTGGCTTCTCTGGCTCCTCCGGGGGCAGGGGGGGCTCTGCTCCCCCACACGGCTGGATCTCCCCTCACGGACATCATTCACGCCCCATTCCGGCCTCACACAAGGAGCGGACAGCCACCCAGCGGCGGCGGGCGGCTGAGTGGTGAGGGGGCGGGAAGGGGCGGCCTGAGGCTGGCACCCGGGCGCGTGTGCCGGGCCCTGTGGCTTCTCTGGCTCCTCCGGGGGCAGGGGGGGCTCTGCTCCCCCACACGGCTGGATCTCCCCTCACGGACATCATTCACGCCCCATGCCTTCCCTCGTGCAATCCTCCAAATCCTCTTGGGAGACAAAGCCAAACTCCTTCCTGGTCTCAGAGTTGGCCACCTTCTAGCACCTTCTAGGCCTCTTGTTAGGGCAGATGTGGCTGCCAAAAGAACAAAAGCTCTTCATTTTGTACCTGACAAATATATTTTGGTTTTAACAAAAATAAAAAGGTCCTCAAGCTCTTCGCGTCTAGTAGGATGGCCGGTACCAAAGAAGCGCGAGCGCGGTGTGGGGGAGGGTGGAGGGATCGGACCCTCGGGCACGACCTGCGGGTAGCAAGGCCGCTCCCTTAGGAACAGGGTGCGACCGCCCAGCAGTCCCGCTCTGGGCACGGCCCGGAGGCATCGCCGGCAGGGACTCCAGCGAACACCGTGCACTTGTGCCCGTGCAGCGTTAGTCCCAGCAGCCGAGGGGTGGCCGCCACCCCCCACCCGGGCCATCGCCAGACGCATGGATAAAGAAACGCGCTCCGTCCTCACGGCGGAATGTCGCCCAGGCTTAGGGAGGAAGGCTGTGCCGACACCCGCTGCCACGTGAGCCAACCGGCAGGACGTCATGCCCAGGGGACACGTAGGGCACAAAAGGACAAACACCGTGTGAGCCCCCACACGCGGTCCCAGTCAGATTCATCGAGACAAAGCAGAGGGGGGCAGAGGTCCAGCTGGGACGACGGGAAGTCCTGGCGACGGAGGTGGTGATGGTGGCTCCACAGTGAAGGAGCTCAGTGCCCCTGAGCTGCGCACTTAAACCCGGTTCAGATGGGAGGTTTTACGTGGCTCTGACACAACGGAAAGAGATGGCCGGAGCGGGGACGGTGGTCCCTCGTGGAGGGCCGGGCTCAGGGCGGAGGGCCGAGCATGGTGAGGCGCGGAATGGAGCAGAGGCCAGGAGTCACGTCCACGGGGCATCCTGTGAGGCTTCAGGGCTGTTCCCATGGCCTGGGAATGGCTGTGCTGAGCGTTGCCCCAACGCAGCCGATGGGTCTGAGAGGCCCACGGGACCCCGCGGTCGTGGGAGGAGGCCCCAGCAGATGCCTCGTCTTCCCCAGGAGTCTCTGTGGTTAGGGCTGTTGCCTGAGCACAGAGTTACGACACCTTACGTCGTGAGCTGTACGCGGCTCCCGGTGACTGAGGAGCTGCGAGGTGGCTCTGAGCCACCCCAGAGGAGCTCAGCGACCCCCAGGGGCACCCCTGCTGGGCCCTGCTCACTCGCACGTGGCCCGCAGAGCTGGCTGTGAGCACGGCCCTGGGTCACCACGGCCTGGAGAGCAGGGCCCAGGCTCTGGCGCTGGCTGCGAAGACCAAGGGAAATCTGTTCAATGTCTGGGACGCAGAGCCTCGAGAACCAGGAGGAACTGACAGGCACGCACCTCGGCTCCCCACCTGGGCGGGCTGCCCTGTGGGGCCCATTGGGTGACGCCCTACCCCAAGGGCACCAACAAACAGCTGTTAGCCACGGGGCCCCCCGTGTTCGCCAGCTCTGCCGGTTCTTCCGGAGCTTGCGATGTGTTATTGTTATCCTCATCATCATCACTCTTATTAACGCTTCTTAGAATCCTCTTGGTTCTTCCGGAGCTTGCGATGTGTTATTGTCATCCTCATCATCACTCTTATTAACGCTTCTTAGAATCCTCAGTTGGGAGGCGGAGCCCTGCTCAGGGAGCCTCAGGGGACCGTGGGGCACGAGGACGAGGTCACAGGCCTGTCGATCTGCTCACAGCCCGTTTCCCATCCAGCAGATGGAGAGGAGGCCGGCACAGCCATGTGCCAGGGGTCCTTCCGGGCCCACCACCTGCGGCTCTCTCTGCCGACATCTCCGTGCCGCGGGTGACACACCTGCTGGGCGTTTCACAAGACGCTGACGCTGGACGTGTCCGCTCCTGTCGGGGCGCGGCAGGCCGAGCGTGCTTTGGCACAGCCCTCTGCGCGTGACCGCTCGCCGAGTCATGGGCGCCGGGGATCTGAGAGTTTCCTCCCAGTCCCCCTGGTGAGACTCCGGGTACAGCCCGGAGCGGTGACTGCTGCAGCCCAAGCGGCTGCTCGAGTCCTTGCTAATGCCAGATGCGGCAGAGCCCCGTGGGCCTGGCACGCAAAGCACGCGGCCTGAGAAGGTGGCCTCTGGTGTCAGACACACCTGGGTTTGATCCCTGCTCTGCAGCTTCCTAGTCCTGTGACAGTGGCCAATGACCACGCAGCCTGTTGGCTCTCGTTTTCAAGATGGCCCACATGACAGTGCAATGTACCTCTGGGTCGTGCGAGCAGTGACTCCTACGGGAACCACTTAGCAATGCGCCTGGCACACAGTGGGCGCTCTGTGCCCACAGAGGTGCCTGCTGTGTCATCACAGCCTGGAGGCGGGTGTCCGCGAGGGAAGGAGCGTCAGCGGCCCAGGTCCCCCGTCCCAGTGCTGGTGCTGAACATGCTGACTCCTCCCCCAGGAGGCGACACGCTTTCACCTAGAGCTGCCCCGGGTGCCATCTCTGGGTTCCTGTCACCCAGGACTGGTGGCACTTTCACTGCTGGGCCATGGGGACGTGTGTGCTAGTGTGTGTGTGTCCTGCTTTCAGGAGGAAGTCCTAGGGTGCCCAGAAACGTGGTGGTTCAGGAGTACAGCGGGCTTCCGTGGGCGGGGGGCACGGGGACGGCAGGGACCGAGCGTGAGGGAAGTTCCGCCGGAGATGAGGCTCGTGGCACCCGCTCGGAGGGAGGAACCGAGTCTGACTGAAGAGGAACCTGCTCGTTTGAGTGGAAGAACATGTGTCAGCCTCCTGGGTTTTCCTCCAGAGTGACACTGGGATGTTTCCGCGGTCGGGGCAGGGTGCGTGGCCGTTCTGCTCATGACCTGGGTCTTGGGGGCTCCCCGAAGGAGCATATCCAGGGTGGAGAGTGCTTCATGGATCCCCTGGGGCTTTCGAGGTCTGCCCCTGGGGGAACTGCCAAGGCAGAGGGAAGCGAAGGGAAGCCGGGGGGGCCTGGGCTCCGGCTCAGGATCGTGCAGCTGGGAGGGGCTCCTCTCACATGCCCAGCTCCCAGGGGGACTCTGGGGGCCCCCCACGTGACTCACTCCTCTTTAATTATCATGATCTCACTTATTTGAATGTGATTCTACAAGAAACAGAAAGGACTTTAGCTCTGCTTGGGAAGCCCAGGACGCCAGCGCCCGGTCCCCATCCACCTCTGGCGGGCCGTGTGCTGGGACACAGCCCGTGGCCCGGCCAGCCCGTGCCCCCTTCCCCCCACCAGGGTTTTGTTGTTACGTTTGAGGGGAAAGGTATTTCTCTTCCATCACTGCAGGCAGGGGCTTATGTGAAAGGCCCGGGAGGGTCCCATGGGATTGAGGGCGGGAGACCGAGGGACGCAGGGCTGAGCCCCCGCAGAAGCCGCGTACCCGTACCCCGCAGCCCGAGCGGATCGGCCTGCCGAGGTGTGACGGACACACAGCGAAAGGCACCGACCCCGAGGAGTCCCGTGAGCTGCGACCTGTGTGAGCACCACCAGCACACAGCACGTTCGTCGCCCCGAAGCCCCCCAGCCCTCTGTGGATGGCCCTTCCTGGTCTCTTGGCCCCAGGCAGCTGATGGCCTGCTGCCTGTCACCGTGGATGAGTCTGTGTTTCCCAGTTTCCTGCGAATGGCCACACAGTGTGTCTCTCATCAGCACGGCAACAGAAGGCTCGTCCAGGGGTGCTCCACGTGTGGACGGACCAGTTCGCTCAGCCCCTCACCTGTCGATGGCGTCTGCGTCGTTTCCAGCTCGGGGCCCGTCCCGGATGCTGCTGCTGCGAACGCGCGTGTGTGTCTGTGGCCGTGTTTTGTTTCCCTGGGGTGATAGGGGCGGAAAAGCAATGGCCGCCTCGCATGGAATGGTAGCGGTCAACTTCGTAAGAAGCGGCGCAGTGTCACCCCAAGGGGCCGCGCCAGCTTCCGTTCCTCCCCGCAGCCCGTGGGCGTCCCAGCTGCTCCGCGTCCCCAGCAGCGCTCGGGG